TCCCAAGCGTTTACAGTCCATACATCATCCAAAACAATGACATACCTCCTTCTCCATAGATAATTTCTTAGAGCATCGATTAATTGCAAGTCAGTCATTGATTGCAAATTATCCGGAACAGTTTCGTTTGCTGTCACCAGAAACCCCTGCAGAGCAACTCGTAGGAGCTCCGTGGATGCAAACGATTTGGAAACTGTAACCCAAGAATGGGTATCAAAGCTTCTTCTGATGGGGTGGCTGTCATAGACTTTCTTTACGAGGGTTGTTTTTCCCAACCCACCCATTCCAACCACAGAGATACTGGAGAGCTTTTCTTCTCCTTCTACAAGCCACGAAACCAGTAGATGTTTTGGGTTCTCAATTCCCACGACATCAGCTTCATCTAAGTAAAGAGCATCTAACCGGGGATCATGCCATTTCTCTACGGTAGCACTGGAGGTTGATGGCATGTCTATCCTATTCAAAGAAAATGCATTTCTTCTCTCTGAAATGGCTTTCACCCTTGCTTTAATGCTTTGTAACTGGACTGCCAGCCGGTGCCGTGCACTTAATTTACGGATGGAACGATATGAATTGCGAAGATAATGGATAAAACCACTCCCGTGAGAAGGAGCAAACCGGAGCATGAACTCTTCAAGAATGTCCTCAGCATCATAAGCAACATCTCTCACTTGTTTGACCCAGGCTCTCAGTCCTTGATCACTCTCACTCCTTTCTTCCGCATCCTGAAGGAAAGATTTCATGCTATACAAATCATCCTGTAGTTCAACGATTCCCCCTCTAACTCCTCCCAAGAACCGTGTTTCTTTTTCTACAAAGGAAGCCAGTTTCTCGAGCACCACCTGCACTGCGATCATGGCCATGGCTTCTTGCTCCAGAATCACCAATCCTGATCTCTTTTCTCTCGCCAAAAATTTGAAGAAAGGAAAAACAAAAACCCTTGATGCAGTTTCTATCACAGATGTTTGCTACAAGGTTCCAAGCTTAATTGACAATTCCTTCTACTGATTCATTGTGCATGAAAGATAACATTTTTTTCATTTAAGAAAATTATCATGTGGACCATATGGCCCTAGGCAAATTAAGGCCTCACATATAGCCAGCTATAGCATGGGATAGCCAGTGGTATAATTTGTCATTTTTATAAGTTAGAGGGCTGATATGGTATTTAAAAAATGATTATTTTTTAATTATTTTAAATCTTATGACTAATATCTAACTAAAAATTCCTTCTGCTGATTCATTGTTCATGTGATAATGTTCTTGGCATGTGTCCAACAAGACATGTCAAATTGCAATAGGATAACATGTGATCAAATTCACCCCGTCATTCTACCTCGTCATTCTTGTGTTTTCACATGGGCAGGAAGCTACCAAAACCTCTGATACATGTGATTTACTCCTGGTTTTATAAATTAGAGAGTGTAAATTATAAAACCCAACCAATAAGATATCTACATGCATGTTATCAGTAAGTGTAAATTGTAGATTAATATTTTTCACCAGTAAGTTATCCTAGTGCTTGCTTGGACTTGCTCAACATGCAGATTAAAAAAATGAAGTTTCACCAATCTGTCATCAGAGTCTGTAAATGTTACAGATAATTTAAGTTTGTTTACCATATTTTTCAAGAACATGTTTGTCTTTGGTAGCTTATTGTCACAGCTGTGAACTCTGAAGAAAATTGATCTAAGAAACCAAAGTCCTGCAATGTAATTCCATTTTGTTCTAGATTGTACACGGATACAGGCTTGGTGATTATGCCCAAGAAGAAAACTAAAGAAATAGTAGATGAGTAGTGTACTGAAAATAAATATTTTTTTGGTATGTAAGAAGAAATATTATGTATTTTCATCATATTACATAGATTGGGTATAGAGTATATCCTCTGTTGGGATCAGTTTACACCTCAGATCTAAAACAATAGCACACAGGAATTAAAAAAGAGGAGGGATCGCTAGGGATACAAGATTTGCAACCAAATATATGACCTGACATGTTGAGGAAACAGAGGGAGGTGTTTTTTGCAACACAATGCAGATTTTTATTATTTTTTTCCTTTTGGTCATTAATTTTTTTTAAAAGGGGCTTTGGTTTGATTCCTACAAGCTGCGGGCAAATCTTCCGCGTTTCGACAGGCAGCCTCATGAACAAAAGAAAGACATGTTAGGAGATCCAAACATTCAAACACACACAAATTTACGTGGTTCGGCAACTTGCCTACTCCACGGAGCTACTGGTTTGTATTAATCAAGCTCAAAAGCAATACAAACAACAAAACAAGGAGGAGGAGAAAACTTCTCAACTCAACTCAACTCTCACCCTTAGCACGCTCTCTGTGTTTCTCTCTATCTCGTAGTCTATCTCAGCTATCAATACACCTTCTATTTATAGCTGAGGAGGGAGATGATTGTTCAACAATGGTGGGCAAGTTAGGCACCCACCATTTGACTATGACTTCAACCATGGCTGCCACCAACCATGGCTGCCACCAAACATGGCTGCCACCAAACATGGTTGCCACC